GAGCTTTCTAAGTACATGTCAAAGCTAGTGGGAGCATAAGTGTTATGCTAATAATCATCATGTTAGTGGGAGCATGATAATTATGATAAGTATTGCAAGTTAGCAATGTTAATTATAGAAAACAAAAGGTTTCATTGGGAAAAAGTTGTTTTGCTATAATTAAGGGAGAGGAAATTATACTTCATCTCAAATCTATAAGCTTAGATCGTGAGGTTTTAATCATTTAGTCAAGGATATATATATATATATATATATATATATATATATATATATATATATATATATATATATATATATATATATATATATATATATGAATTTCATGTTGGAATGGCTCAACATAAGGAAATTCTGTATATGGGTCCATTATTTGCGTTCTCAAATTCGATTATGATTACGGCATCCCTTTTCATAATCTGAATTATGAGAACTTGGTAAATAGAAATGGAAATGTTATAGCAAAAGACTGGTTTAGTCTTTATGTGAGATATCATGAATCGTGTCCCATATGCTTCGGATATAGGATCGATTACATGTGCTATAGTTATCCGTTCTAAAAGTTTCCAAATGCCTGGGGCATTAAGAAGGGAAAAGGTTTGGAACTGGATATGACTAAAAGGATTAAACAATTGTCGAGGACAATCTAAGGTTTACCAAAGATTGATTGCTCATGGACAATTGGAAGTATAGTGATAATTTTTGGAAGGACCATATTGACATAATCTGTAAGGAGGCAACTCTTGTTCAAAAAGTGATAGTCAAAATGAATCTGGAAATGTTTCAAAGTCAGAAATTTCAATCTGTGTAAGATTAAGGAAACTTAAAGCAAGAAGGATGTTTCCAAGGAGTTGATCTCCTTTGGAATACTCTGTAATGATTGTTGCCAAGTCTTTATGACTTTGTGCATAATCATTACAAGAGGATCAATGCATATAAGTTTAGAATCTAACAGATTTCAGTAAATGACATGAATTTGGAATTCTTGCATTTGCAGTAAGGATTTGGGAGTGTGAAAAGAGAATCATTGAAGTTATGTTCAATGGATCTAGTTCACAAAGCAAAGATCATAGACAAACATAGTATGCATACTTGGTGTATGGCATGACTAGTGTTTAGAAAACATAGTGTACATGCTTAGAGCATGGGACAACTATTGTTTTAAATTCAAGAATAAAGTTGATAGTTGAAACAGTATACAATGAATAATGTGTAATCATATCGTGATAAATAAAAGGTGTTTTATTTATGTTCATAGGTTTTGATACCATATTGGATTCAATTATTATTGTGTTTCACTTTGCATGTTTTGACTTCCCGAATAAACTAGGTTATTCTTCCGGAATGACTAAGTTATTCAAACCATCCACAGTCGATTATATGTTGGAAGTAGATATGAATTAAGACTGTCATGGGTTGGCTTATAGAGGTCTAAGGTGTTGGACAAATGGCTACAACACTCATGAGTGCTCATAAGTTCTGAGTATTGGATTCAACCCGCACTCATTGGAATCACTTCATGGATTTTATCGTGAGTGATCATGAGATGATAATATCTTATATTCTTCAAACCTAGAGATATGAGTTGTTACTATGATTTGGTTGTACATTGATTGCACGAAACCGCATTTGGTAACTCGTTGCTATAAAGCGTGCCTTTGTGTATGATTCAACAAGTAGTAGAACAAGCCATATGAGTCGAAGTTTATCCATTCCTTTTACCTTCGGGATAAAAGCGATATCTGTGGGCCCCTCGAGATTTGATGATGACAAATGGAAGTGCTCGGCCGGGCCAGGACTGATTTGATTTGTTCAATTAGTCAGTCGTCATAAATCGGAAATCAGGAAACAACAAATGGACAGAGAGAATGATTATAATCCATGTCTCAGTCCATATGATATCTAGAATGGAGGAATATGTGATCCCTTATCTAATGGACAAGTCATTGACAAAGCTCAGAGTTCTTTTACGAGTCAAGTTCGACAGAAGCTTTTGAGAGCTACGATTGCCGGTCGGTTCCTGAAGTCATACGCAATATAGTTTTAGACTTATCCAAGTGGGAGACTATTGGATTAATGTCTAAGTCCATAACTATAATTGGTAAGACTTGACCCGACCCGGCATGGTCCATTTGGGTTGCATGGCATCATGCACTTGGATAGACTATAATGAGAGAAATAAGACACTTATGGTTATTAATATATTATAAGTTCTAGTATATTAATAATAAGAATAATAAGATTATTTAATTAGTATTGATCAAGAATTAATCTAGGATTAATTAAGTGATCAAAAGAAGACTAATTAAATATATGGGTTGATTGTGTAAATCATCCATACTTATATAGTGGGCTAATGCTCCATGGATTATCTAGTTGGGCCAAAACCCATATGATGCTCCATGGATTCTCCATGGTGTATTTGAACCCATGGATCCAAGGAAATGGAATGTCATGACAATTAGGGTTTACCCTAATTGTAACACTATATAAAGATCTTATTCTTGACAAAAATGGGCACTAGTATTATTCTAGAGAGGGCTAGCCGATTTTCATGAAGTGTGGAATTTCTCAAGTTATTCCAAGTGTATTTGGTGTTGTGTGAACCATTTGGGGTGTCACACTTGGGGCACTAGGCACTCAAGCTTCATGAAGACATTCTACATCAAAGAGGTATGTATTCTATCTTGTTATATTGATAGTTTTGTATGCTAGATTAGGAAATAATACCTTGGATGTTCATATTTGCATGTATAATAGAGAAAACATAGATCCAAGGTATTTAGGGTTGCATGTACACTCAGGAGTGTTAGAATGCTTATAACCTAATAGTTTTTGCCCTACTAGCACTTAGATGCAATCCTTGTGATCTTTAACACTTGAAACAAAGTTTTTTTCATGTTCTAAAGTGTCCCAACTCATTTTATTAGTTATAATGAGGCTAATTAGTTATATTATATATATATATATATATATATATATATATATTCATTATATGATAACTAGGCTCGTGCGTGTGTACAAGTCTTCATTTGTCACCTAGCACCGTAACCGACACTTCAATCCAATCCACTCACCACAAGTGAGTTCATACCCCTTTAATTAACCTTTGAAATACTTTTAAATGCTTTTATGGGGGGGGGGGGAATACAAGTTGAATACTTATAGTTATTACATCAATCACATGTGATTAATAACTACAAAACCAATGATTTTACTACTATTCAAACTGTTTATCAAAGCTGTTTTACTCCCAACTGTTTTACAAACTGTTTTACTTATCAAATACTTTTACTTAAACTTTGTTATGCTTATTATAAAATTGCATGCCCATATATGTATAGTTATATAAGAAATGTTAAGAAGGCTTAGGAAGGCCGCACGCCCTATTTCCTTTTCCTCGATTTGGATGTGGTCTGGTGGGATTTCGGGTAGCCGTCCGAAGGTCGTTTCAATATTAATTATATATCAAATGTACATATATAGACATAAAAGTACTTCCATATTCATGCATATTAGTTACATCATTAGTAAGTTACCATCAGGGTAACACAGGATCATACTTCTACAAATTTCTAGATCAATGAGTCAGTTCATTCATGAGTCAATACTTACTACTATGAGAACATATACAACTATACTAGAAAAGAACATATACAACTATACTAGAAGAAGAACATATACAACTATACTAGAAAGAGAACATATACAACGATACTAGAAACAAGTAACATTACATTACATATACATGAATACGTTAACAATTGTGATCCACTGAATTGGAGCATGCCTTAAATGTCATGGCCTGAGTTGTAGCCAGAATTCTCTTGGAGGGAGAGCGTGAGTTTGCGTATAGATCTATACTGGATTGACTATCCTACACCTTGCTGCTAGCTACAACCGGACCTGCAGGTATGCGGGTGCCAAACGTCATTCCGTCTTACGACCATTCGTATGTCGTTGTTACCGGTCAATAGTATGGTGCAATTAAATCACATGATACCTTAATATAAATCCAGTTTAAGGTAGTTAGTACAGCAGTAGTTCCTATATTACAAAACTACAGTACTATAGTAATTTACCCTTTATATACATTTAGTGATTATTTCACTTAAACAATGATGTACAAACTATATTTTGATAATGATAGTTACACTTGGGAAAATTACACCCTTTTACGATAAACTAACGTACAAAACCGTTATGCCTTGGTAGAAGGCTACTTTTAATAGAAAATATAGGTTTTTCTGAGAGATTTAAACTTTTACAAACACGTACAAACATTCACATACTTTTATCACCAACGGTTACAAACTATTGTTTAAAACTATGTTCAAACGTTTTGATACAAACACCAACACTAAAATACTTATGAACTCACCAGCTTAATGCTGATAATCTCTTTCAAAATAACTTGTATTCTCATGTCATCAGTAGACAGGTACCGATGCCAGCTTTTGAGAAGATGGAGCGCATCCAATACTCATCTTATTATCTTGATTTACATTATTTTTTGTGTCTATAACTGTAAAGAACACACTTGTATTAAAACTATATATTTAATGCAATGGATGATATTGTTTGCTTGTTTACTTTTACTGTGTTGTGATACTTTACATGACGTCCTCCGCCCCAGAACGTTTCCGCCGTTCTTGGTTTTGGGGTGTGACAGATTGGTATCAGAGCATTGTTTATAGTGAATTGAGTATATCAACCTATAAAAGATATACTAAACTAAAAACCCATTTAGATTAAAACACTCGGACCAAGAGTTTATAAATATTAAAATATTTAATTAAGTATACTAGTCTGCATTCATACTAAAATCAGTGTCACAATG